GAGAGATCTCGAATTGGAACTGGAGAAGCTGGATCTTAAGACGCTCTTCTGTTTAGAATGGCGAAGTCGCAGGCTTCTTCAGTTTCCTACCCCCGGTCTCTAGGTTTCGTGTCAGGCACACACAGGGCAAGCTCGCAGACTCTATGCTTCAACCCCGGGCTTCATCCCCATGGCAAGCCAGTGAGCTGCGTGTTTGTGGCTGACTGATTGTGCGTGCGCGCGTCCCTTTACAGATCCCACACAACATCTCCGAATACATGATGGAATATATACATGTCGGGATATATCGGATATATACAAGACTGTGTGAATATGTCATCAGAATGTCCATCTTACGGCGGGGATCACACGAAGTAAAATTTATATAAAACATTTTACAACTGCATATATATATATATATACATATGTGTGTTTTTTTGGAGTGTGCAGAAGACAGGACAGCTCACCTCCGGATGTAATTCAGGACCTTGCGCTTAGCGATTACCAATTCAAGAACCCGAGAAGCTCTGTGGAAGTCAATCAGTGGCCGGTCGCTATCTTTTGCCAGGCGCATTGCCCTTGCACAGGCAGGGTTGTTCCAAATGAGAAACAGTATCCACCAGTGGGGGGATTGGATTCGGATCATTCTCTCCAGCATTTCTTGGATTCCTACGCATCACATGCATCACAGGCCTGGCCGGTGTTGAAGCAACGCCTGCCACCAGTGATCACTTTGCAAGACATGCAGTACATCACTGCTGAGCTAAAGGTCAGAGTCTTGCAGAGCGCGGTAGAGGACCCGAAATCTTTCATCACCTGGATCTCCCAACAGGTTTCGCCTGTGGCCATTAAATTTGCGTTGGCGAGACTCCGACCGCAACTTGAGAAGCACCTACCGCCAGGTGAGATTTGCATGAGGGGCGTGGCTGTTTTAAGCTTTAGAGCGAGAATGATTGAAATACTGGTCGAGAGTTTCAGAATGTGTAACAGCCTGTCCCAAAGTATCCCACAACCCCATATGAATATGCCATATGCTTTGTTTTTTGCTTCAGGCATTCTGTGGAAAGATACTGCGCGGGTGCTGGAACATTTGGAGATCCAGGACATCCAGGAGGCGCTCACGGACCCTCGCAGCCAGAAGCCTAGAGGCCTAGATCCCCCTTCAAGTCCCTTCCTGCAATAATTCGGATGTAACACGCGTGCTCAACCAAACAGATGCAAAGGCATTCCTGCCGAGCCCCCCTGAGCAACACCTATGATTTGATATGATTTGTGCGTATGTATATATATATATTGCTATCATCGTAGTAGCGTTAACATAGCTTTTGGAGTTTCCAGGTCAGAACTGACAAAACCTGGTGATCAGAGCATGGCTGGATTTGACTTCATTAACAATACCATCAAAAGTGGTGATCGGAGCATGGCTGGACTTGATCCCATCGAAGTATACATATCGAAATGAATTATCAGATTGTGATACGATTTTATGTTTTCAATTTGATTTTACCTCAACATTGTGATGCATTTGATCAGGCCGGATTAAATAATGATACGATTTGATGTCAAAAAGATATTTAGCATTTCATCATTTGATGAAAGAACCCTGGGCTACTCCTAACGGGGCTACTCATAAAACTTGCTATCCTTTCCAAAAAAAACGAGACAATTCCAGGAAAAAAAACATAAACACATCTAAAAAGTCAAAAAAAATATTCAAAAATCCAAAAAATCAAAAAAAACTGGAAAAACTGCAAAAAACGTTAAAAAAACACGAGAAAAAGAAAGCGGGAGTGAAGCGGGAGCGAAGCGGGAGCGAAGCGGCAGGCGAGACCATCGAACCGTGAAAAAACGTTGAAATCATCTGAAATTCTAGATCCAGGGGTCCAGCCACGCTCAAATCACCCTCGCCCGAAGCCAGGGCCTTGATCATTCAAGTCCCTTCCACAAAATTCGGATCAACACGCGTGCTCAACCAAAAAATTCACCAAGTTGTTGCCACCAAAAAATCACCATGAAACCCTAGGAGTGTTAACGCTACCATGATCATTCCATATATATATATGTGTATATATATATATATGTGTATATATATGTATATATATATATGTATCGATAGATAGATCACAGATGCTTTCCACTCGGCGTCTGGTTGTCTTGGCAAAACAGATGGGCCCTTCAATTGTTGCACCATTCAGAAGGAAGCAGCAGCAAGCGGCACCTGCCTCACCTGGTCCCTGCAACACGAACTCTGATTGGCTGCGAAGATTCAGAAAAAGACATTGCGGCTGCAACCATGTGCGGCCTAAGGTTTCTTCAAGTCTTTGGCGACGCGGACTGACAAGATTGGAACCGAATGGTGGGTTGTGCAAGTAAAGCGCCAGCTTGAGCCTCGGATGCCTGCAGGCGTAAAATGGGAAAAATTGGCTGACATCCTAAAGTTCCTCACCATTCGGGAGCTAAACGATGCCCCTTGGTCAATAAGACGCGTTTCTTGTTCAGATGCGTGCGTGCATGTGAAACATCTGCTCAGCAGGCATATCAGCCAGGACGCAAATAAGTATATGGCATTGAGATGAGGCGGGAGTAGTTTTCCTTTTAGTCCAATGTATCCTTGGGAACCAAGGCTATGAACCGCCCACGAAGGTTTATGCTGTCCCTAACAAAGCGTGGTGGCCCGATTGCTTTAAAGTGGATGGTGGCCAGCCTACAACCAAGCTTGGAGGCCTTGTTGCCCATTGGTATCCCTTGGCAAGATGTTCAGGTAGAGCTTCTGCGCTGTGACATGACTGCATTGAAAAAAGGCCTTCAGGAGCCACAAGCCTTGTTGGATTCACTGATCCGACAGACAGGCCCACTTGCAGCCAAATTTGCCATACAGCAGGCGAAACCTGTGCTCCAGACCCTTGTAGAAAAGGGCGTGAGCTGGAAAGACATTGAAGACTCCTTGAAGGCAGTTGAAATTCACGACCTGGTTGAGGGTTTGAAAGATCCACGTAGGTTCATAGCGGAGGTAGAGAGAACTGCGGGGCCACCAGCACGCGCGTGGGTTTTGGTCAAAGTCAAGGCTGCGGTGGCGGCCGTGCTGCCGCCTGACGTTACATGGGAAGATTTGGATGGCATAGAAAACACCGTCGGTGAGATGAGTTTAGAGGAACTGCGCCAAGATTTGATGCAGCCAAACCGGCTCTTGATGTCGTTGGCTTCAAAATTCCACCCGTTGGCTGTCAAAATCGTGCTGCAGAGACTTTGGGGCAGTTTAGAGGAGATGAGCCTTGTCAAGGAGCAAGTGCGCAAAAGGGCAGGAATCACTAAACTAAATAAGTACCCTGGATCGGAGGGGTTTAGATCGGAAACAAATCTCTAACCATCAGTAAGATGATAAACACGAACAAAACCGAAGAAAAATGATATAATATGAAAAAACATGGAAAAAATGGAAAAAGCGAAGAAAATTGTTTTTTATCGTCTGAAACCATATGCACATGGCCATCGTCATAATCCACCAAACGTGTTATTTCTGGTGATTTTTGAGTTCATTAATCACATCTTTATACTTTTCGGTGTTGTGTGCATTTCTGGTAGGTACGTAACCTTAATAAATAATCTAAAATGTCTCTGTTTATATTCCATCTTTTCCACCCGTGGAGTTAATATATAAATAAAGTGTCTTGCCTGTCTTATATAATCCCGATGGGTTTCTGTATGCATTCGTCAATCCGTGTCTGTCTTCTGTTGCTTTTGTGTTGGCTATGTTCCTTTCTTCTTTATACAGTGTTGTATTTTGTCTGAATTGCTCATTAAGATTTCTTGCAAAGTTGTTCATCTTCTCATCTAAGTCTCTTTGTTTCTTGTCCGTGTCGTTCATCAACTCTTCTTTTCCTTGACGCATTAATTCTTCAAATGCTACTCTACCTATTCTTTTTGCGAATATATAATCTCATCTCTTCTCTTGTTAATACATGTTCTATTGCTTCACCTCCCATAATTCTCTGAACAACCTCTCTCCCAAACTGCCTTCCCACCTGTCTCAATGCATTAGTCATTGCTATTCTTCCAACTCCTGCTACAACTCCAATCATTTATTTTTATATTAATGTTTGATAAAAATCATTTCTAATAATAGATCTAATCATGAGTCATGAGTAATAGATAAACATATAAAACTATGTTTGTAGATAGTAAGTATCGCAATGCTCAATCAAAATCTTCGCCTGACTTTTCAGTGGAGTTAAACGAAAACTCAGAAACACCAGAGGAAACAAAACTCTATGTAACTGATATTTCTATTCCAGCGGTGTGGAAATCTACAGAGGTGGGTTTCTATGAATATATTAATATATTTATGTTGTGGTCTTCAATGGCGATACATTAGTCAAAATATTAGGGTATATTTAGGTAATATTATGGTAAACTGTGATTAAAACATGAAACAATCACAAGAAAGAAATCAAAATGAAAATAACAAATCTCAAAAAATCTCAAAAAATCTCAAAGCAATACTTTAAAAATAGCAAAAAGGTAAATTAAAAATCTCAAAAAATCTCAAAAAATCTCAAAAAATCTCAAAAAATCTCAAAAAAACTCAAAAAATCTCAAAAAATCTCAAAAAATCTCAAAAAAGCTCAAAAAAGCTCAAATAAGCTCAAAAAATCTCAAAAAATCTCAAAAAAGCTCAAAAAATCTCAAACTTGATGATAGCATGAAAAAATAAAGCTTAAAAAAACAAAAAAAATGTTTTTTTTGGTGTTTTTTTTATGTTTTTTTGCTTATAGATTGCATATGTTTGTTGAAGTCATTGCCGCAATCATTTGTCTTTCAGGGTTTCGGTCTCATTTCCCCCGGTAATCGCCTTTGGCATCATTTGATTTTTTGAATTTTTTGAGATTTTTTATTTTCATGTTGATTTCTTTCTTGTGATTGTTTCATGTTTTAATCACAGTTTACCATAATATTACCTAAATATACCCTAATATTTTGACTAATGTATCGCCATTGAAGACCACAACATAAATATATTAATATATTCATAGAAACCCACCTCTGTAGATTTCCACACCGCTGGAATAGAAATATCAGTTACATAGAGTTTTGTTTCCTCTGGTGTTTCTGAGTTTTCGTTTAACTCCACTGAAAAGTCAGGCGAAGATTTTGATTGAGCATTGCGATACTTACTATCTACAAAAATAGTTTTATATGTTTATCTATTACTCATGACTCATGATTAGATCTATTATTAGAAATGATTTTTATCAAACATTAATATAAAAATAAATGATTGGAGTTGTAGCAGGAGTTGGAAGAATAGCAATGACTAATGCATTGAGACAGGTGGGAAGGCAGTTTGGGAGAGAGGTTGTTCAGAGAATTATGGGAGGTGAAGCAATAGAACATGTATTAACAAGAGAAGAGATGAGATTATATATTCGCAAAAAGAATAGGTAGAGTAGCATTTGAAGAATTAATGCGTCAAGGAAAAGAAGAGTTGATGAACGACACGGACAAGAAACAAAGAGACTTAGATGAGAAGATGAACAACTTTGCAAGAAATCTTAATGAGCAATTCAGACAAAATACAACACTGTATAAAGAAGAAAGGAACATAGCCAACACAAAAGCAACAGAAGACAGACACGGATTGACAAATGCATACAGAAACCCATCGGGATTATATAAGACAGGCAAGACACTTTATTTATATATCAGGAACGGGTGGAAAAGATGGAAGTATAAACAGAGACATTTTAGATTATTTATTAAGGTTACCTACCAGCAATGCACACAACACCGAAAATATAAAGATGTGATTAATGAACTCAAAAAAATCACCAGAAATAACACGTTTGGTATCACATGTCCCTCAGATAATATATAATCCACCAATTTACCTGTATCCCAACCAAATAAAAAATGATATAAAATGATATAAAAATAAAAAAAAATAATAAAAACATGCGTTTTAATGGGATAACATGCTTAAATATGTGAAAAAGTGCTTTTTAATGCGTTTTTAAGTTATTTTGAGTTTATTTATGCGCATGGGGGTTCACAAAGTCTTCTGATCTAAACCCAGCTGATCTAGGGTACTTATTTATTTTGGTGAAGGAAAGACGTGATAAGTTGGCACTGCACAGGTATTTTTTGTCATGTTTTCTGCTGGCGTTTTGTAGGCTCACCTGCAGAACAATATTGTTGCAGAGTCTGCTTTTTCTTCGGGTTCTTGTGCAGGAGGAACCATTCAGCTTGCAAGGGCTAGCCGCAGGATCTGTTACAATGCAGGACACAAACGCAGAGGGCTGAATAGGGCAAACAAACGAAGCGACAATGAACGAAACTCGGAAGAAGTTAAAAGGAACGCACAGTTCCTGAGATGCAAGTTTTCACACTAAAGTATGCATGTCTCGGACTAAACTTGGTTTAGACCTCATGGGTGTCGCATGTGTCTTGCATTTTTAAATCAGAGATCGCTTCAAATGAAAAGTCATGTGATGTCATGTGAATGTGACTGTTTTTGCCGAAGTGGAAATTTTGGGGACCAGACTCCACCATTGCCTGAGCATGCGGCCGCCTGGAGGATATTGAATCTATCCTGTTGAAGTTGCCGCCGCTTGTCATCGCAGAAGCTTTAGAGCGACCAGATGGTTTCCTGCAGAAGCTCGAGAAGGACATGTTCCATACATCACGCTTTTTCATCGTCCTCTTGAAGCCCAAGTTGGAAGATCTTGTGCCAGAAGAAATTGGTTGGGAGAACTTTGAGATGGTCTTGGAAAAAATCAGCTTGCAAAATTTGAAGGGCTTGTGCACAGACACGGGCAAGCAAGAGTTAAGTCCAGAGCTTAGTGCATGTTGACTGGACAGAAGAAAAAAAGATTCACGCGTTCGAAAAAAGATTGCTTAGAGGGCACATTGCACGCTACCGCCCTTCCAGCACCGCGTTCCCTCCAGATAAGATTTTCCGCGAGGTCCTCGTTTTGATCTGTCTTTAGAATTTCAATGAGCCTTGAAATCCAAAACACCAGCGGCCATCGGTGAACGGCGTTCCTGCAACGGGGTACTTGTAGTGCGTATGTTTCATGTCTTACAACCACTCCCTAGACAGGAAAAAAATCTGGGGCCAGCTGTGTGTTGAGCGGCCTGTGCCCAAAAGGAGCTAGGTCTTAACAACCGTTCTCCCACCGATTTGCCTCCACAAGAGCTAACACCACATCGAAAGAGAAGCCCGTCTCCAGCACCTAATTAATTGCAATATATTCGAATTAAATACCTAACAGCCGGAAGAGCACTGCTGGCCGTCATCAGTCCTACTGTTTGCCTGGCATTGCACCATCCTTGTTTGCCATTGAAGTTGAGGAAAGATAGGAAAGCCAGCCCAGCATAGTCCAGCCGCTCGCTTGAGGTTGGGGCGATGTCGAGCGCTACTTGGAGAAGGAAAATCACGCTGCAATTCACTGGAGTGTAGCGAGACTGCGCCCACGCCTGGAAGCATCTCTCAAATAGCGCAGGTTCAAGAAATATGCATTGAATGATGAGACCCCTAGCAAACAGACCCAGTTTGCCTTTCAGAAGTTACACACTTGACGGGAACAGGCTCTCAAATCAAATTGGTATGCTGGAATCATCAGATGTCCGAAAACCAGTCAAAAACAATAGTGAGCAAAGATGATGCATTAATAGAGTTGCGCATAATTACATTATAAACATTATATACAATTATATACATACATTACATACATTACATGTGTTACATGCACTACACACATTGCAATACATTACGTACATTACCTTACCTTACCTTACATTACCTTACATTGCATTGCATTGCATTGCATACATGCATACATGCATACATGCATCCATTCATGCATGCATGACATGCAAATACATAAAAATACATACAAGATCATTCAAGTAGTACCCGGGCAAGCAGGGGGCGGAAGTTTCAAATTTGAAACGCTTATAGCCTATAGAGCGGAGCAAAGGTTGCGCCTATAGGTGACAAGCAAGCCTCCTGTGCTTCGCAGCAACAAGCTCTTGACTTGTCAACCTGATGCCATGTCTTTCGAATGTTGAATCTTTTCTCATTTCATCTGATCTCATCGCATCACAGCTTCTCTTGGAAATTGCTCACCGCATCCCACTGTCACCGCAGTGTGTGTCATCCCATCTCATCTCAAGTCATCTCATGTCTTCTCAGCTTTTTACAATGCATTGTTTTCCCCACGTGAGGTCCTTCCCCATGAAGTCGTGAGGGATGTCCTCATCGTCGTTTCCATTGTAATGCTGTATGCAAAGGATCGTACTGTCACATCCATGATTAACGTAGAACCACATGTCGTACATGCTGGCCGACGCCTCTGGCAATGATGTTCTCACGGTGGCTTCCACCCATGGTGCTTTTTCATACTCTACTGTGACTCTCCTGCCTCCACCGATGGTGCCCGCAGCCCTTGATCCCGTACTCGTAGTGTCGGGGATCCGCCTCCGGTGCCAATCTCGACCGTGGCGGGCTTCTTGAGCACGTCCTCCATCAGCTCCATGTTGATCCCGACCTTCATCGACGATTCCTTCACTAGGTCGTTCATCCCCTTGGCAGCCTCGACATTCACCGAGCACATCAACAGAACTCGCTGTCGAAAGAGGAACTTCTCGATGGTGGCAAAAACTCCAAGTCGTTCAGGATGGTGGTGGTTGTTCATGTAGTGATTTCCGGCATGACCATACATCAGCCTCCACATTCCGTCGTCAGTCGTGACCATGATGCCAAAACTTCTGAGGATGTCAGCTGAGTCCATAGCGACGTCATGGATGCCAGTGGGAATGCCGTGGAATCCTTGCATAGCGACACAAAGATCGGTCTATTGGCCTTCTTGTCAATCCCACGGATCGCCTCAGCAAACTGCTCTGCGAATCCACGTTCTACCCAAACGTTGTAAGTTGGATGATCTGCAATGAGGAAGGCAAATGACACCCAAACGTGGTATGTCACGTTTTGCTTCAGTCTCCAGGCCTTGCATCACCTGTCTCTTCAGGTACTCGATCGCGTCGAAAAACTTCTGGGCCTTGGACGTGCTGTTGAAACTGTTGATATCAACGACCGTTATCGCGTAGCCCATCTCATCGAGCCCATACTGAATGTTTGGTCATTCCCCCTGCGTTAGATTGACATCTATACATGAGGTCGGTGATCAGGATGGTTCTTCCATACCGGAACTTCCCTGCCAACTCATCCTTCTCTTTCCGCACCAATGGCCGCTCAACAATGGTTCCCCCGATGCCCGACATCAGGCCTCTTTTCCATTGGTAGTAGCCATTGCTTGTTGCTTGTGCGTCGCTGTTCTTGCCGATCATCACCATCATCGAACTAACCGATAGGTAGTAGTTCTGGTGCAGCATGCCGCCGCGCTTCAATGCAGCATTGTAGATCCTCAGCCATTCCATGTCGCTGAAGGCCCACGATGTCTCCGCAATGGCTTTAGCATTGGCTAGACCGAAGCATAGGCAGGTGTACACGGCAGTCCTTCTCAGGTACTGTCTCCATGTCTGTTGAGCGCTGTTTGCCATTGGCCCTTGAATGTGGGATAGTGCGAACTCTCCGTTCTCCTCGTGGATGTTCAACTTAGACCTCACAGGCGTTCCCGTGTAATCCTGCAATACCTTGTTGTAAAGTGTCACATACATCGGTTTCTCCGCCCTGACGAACTCCGTTTCAGGCACGTCTCGTCTAGACGGCATTGGCTTCGCCGCAGGTTTGGGCTCTGCCTGTGGTGGTGGTCTGTCTGAACTTGATGACTGCGATCCCGCTGCAGTGGCTTTCGGTGGTGGTGCTGAAGGCGTAGGTCTTGCCTTCGGCGGTGGAAAAGGATACGGTTGTGGTGGTGCTTTGTACCCAGGTGGTGGCCCAGGCGCCCGTGGTTGGGGCAATGTTGGATCAGGAATCGTTGCCCAACCAGGCACTTGACCATGTGGGGGCTCTGGCGGCCACTGGCCGTCGCCGAACTTCAATACCTTCTTCCAGTTGCCTGCAGCTACTTGTGCTCCAGGCTGTCCTCCACCAGCTTGAGTTTCCGTGAGGGTTGTCATGAATTTCCCCAAGGCCGAGAAGCATCTGTTTCGTTTCATGATCTCCTCGTGGTTGCCCTCTTCAACGTTGATGACGTTGTAGCCGTGGTTCTCCATAATCTCGGCGTGGGCATCAATGAAGTTGGCACCCGATTCTCGTACTCCAGCAGCTTTCCGAGATTCTCTCTCGCCTTGTTCGAAAGCGGCCTGTACGTCTTCAGCTTCGTCTTGCACTTGGCAATCATCGGAGACAAAGCTATGATGCAGGTGAAATGGTTCACCGCCGCAGCGAATTCTCGGTTCAGTTTTGTCCGCTGCTCGATGAGGTCGGTGATCGTGGTCTCCAATGTAATGGGTTGCCCTCGTCGTCCTCCAAGTGGTTAAAACATCTCCAAGCATGACCCAAGTGCATTAACTTGGCGTTGCCATTCATCAAGCGCTTAAACAAACGCTGGCTGTTGTTGGATTCCCATGAAGCGTCCATCATGAAGTAGTGCAGCTCCCGATGGATTGCTCTGAAAGAGATGACAATCGGAGCATAGGGATCGGACAAGTTGATGGATCCGTCCCTTTTCCTCGTTGCACTCAGCCAGATGTTGTCTGCGGGTCCCGATTGGCTGACTCCACGTAGATCACCACAAGGACGCATTTTGAATTCACGTAGATGATCACGCAGCATGGCCAGGGTGAACTCTCCCTCATTCTTGATCGGATAAGGGACGTGGAAGTTCTTGATGTGTTCCCACATGTTCCCCAAGCCGTTGATGTATCCCGTGGTGCAAAAGCCTAATACTATGTGGTTGTCCCGAGACGCCAACTGCACGAACGTCTTCATATAGGTTGCGCATCTTTCCAAAAATCGTTTGGCACCCATGTTCAATTCTTCTGGGCATGCGCCCAACTCCAGGACCTCAAGGAACAACGTGATAGCGTCCACCTCGGACCTGTTTGAAGGTACCTTTCTCAGGAAGCATGCGGATGCCGCCGCAACTGGGCTGATCCCGATCGATGACCACTTGGCGACCGTGCTATCAGGCAGGCTACCGTAGGAGGGCCCATGCTCTCGGTATGTAGGCGGGATTACAGTATGTTTCCCGTTGTCTCTCAGAGTCACGAGAATAGCCTGGATCGCCTTCAGGTCGCTCTGCGCCGAACCCACCACACTCGTGTAGTTCGACATGGCGCTCGCCTTATTAGGATCCCGTACTACCCGATGCTGACCAGCGGACGGGGTTCCGTTCACCCCGGGGTCACGTACTCCCTGTGGCGGTCCCACACACAGGTTTCCGATCACTCTTGCGGCGATGATCGAAGATGATGAAGTCAATGATGTCGTGGACAATCGACCTCGTGTTGATGGATAACCTGAGTTTCCGAGGTTGACATGACTGGTACATAACCATTTGGCATACCTCATCAGACAAATCCAATGCGACTTCACTCGTGTTGTTGATGGTTGAAACCGCTATCTTCTTTGCTGAACGTCGATCATGCTTGCAACTGCTGCATGCATTGTCCAACATCAACAACGACTCCTTGAACCGAATTGTCATTTGTCGACGAACTGTCTTGAGGATGATGTCGACAATCTGACAGGTGTAGGTTTGTGTAACTCTCGTTTCACGTCCTTCACACTTTCCATGATCATGATTCCGATCACATTTCTTGTTTAAACTAAACTTGACCCCCCATGATACGATCCTCCACGGCTTCTTGATGGGAACACGTTGATCACCAGAGTTGTAAGACCATACATGCAACCATCGAAGTCATGGATATGGGAATCGGTGCTGTTGATGATGAGATTCATCCTTTCATCATGCCAATAGTCGCATCCTCTAGGTAATTCTAGGAGAGCCATAGCATCTAACTCGATCACTTTTTCTCATCTCTTTACATCTCAGATTTTCACAGCTCTTCTCAACTCTTCTCAGCTCTCCGCAGCTCATGTCAGCTCATCTTACGTCTTCTCATGTCCTCTTCCCTCTTCTCACATCTTCCAAGCTCTTCTCACACCTCCTAAGCTGATCTCAGTTCTTGTCAGCCCGTCACACCATCTCAGCCTCTCAGGCCAAGCTTCGAGCGCTTCGCCAAGCCCGAGGCTACTTCCGCAAACCAGAGCCAGCAGCTCAGCCAGATCGAAAAAAGCGTCTGCGAAAGCTGATGCAAGAGAATCCATGCCGTGCCTGTGGGCAATTGGGACATTGGCCAGAAGACCTTGAATGTCCAAGAAATCAGAAGAGCAGTGCTGCCATGACCTCTTCGGCTTCATCCATGTCAGCATCTTTGGTGACAACCCCAGCCACTAGCTCTCCGGACAAGGCTGAACATGCAGCCATGTCAGCTGCTTTGGAACAAATGATGAAGGAGCAAGCCGCTCAGTTCAGTCGCGCATACATGGCTGCTGCGTGTTCTGCGGAGGG